CAACAAAGTCCATGCTCAATAATCCAGGTATACAATCCAACATTTTTTAGTCAGGTCATCTGGACAGTTTCTTTTTTTTTTTGTGCTGAAACGTTTCACCTTCCATCCAGAAGGCTTCATCAGTCAAGGAAACGCACAACACAAAACTGATTCTTCCCCCAACAGCTTACTCCAAAGTGGAACAAACCAGTTATGTTGGTGATAAGATGGTCTCTTTGTCACGCCCCCTCCTCCATTGCCGGCCCTCTTCCTTGTTGACAGTCGTGTCAAACTGGTTGAAAACAACAAAGTCCATGCTCAATAATCCAGGTATACAATCCAACATTTTTCAGTCAGGTAATCTGGACAGTTTTTTTTTTTTTGTTTTTTTTTACAAGAATGATGTGATTGCTTCTGGCACTCTTCTGGTCAGACCCCCCCCCCCCCCCCCAGTGGTGTCATATTCATCTGGAAAAAAATCAGATACACCCTGTCTGTTAAAAGATTTTGGGGCGCTTGGCAGCTTTTTATGTTGTATGTGGAAAACTGGTCAATGCCTGTTTGTGTGTGTGACTGATCCGGTGTGGGACTTTTGTGCTTTGTTCTTGTTTGTATGTTCAAAAACCAAAAAATCAATAAAAAGACTGTTAAAAACAATTCCTCATCATTCTTCAGGTGGTTCATGTTCAGATTCATGTTTCGAGGATGAAGTCAGAGCTGCTGATGAGGAGAAGAGTCAGATCCAACACACCTGGAACACTGCAGACAGGAGACACGTTTCCAGAGCATCGTTTAACAACCAGACTACAGAGGTCGCAGCAGGAGGAGCAGAAGACAGAGAAGGAGGAGGAACAGGAGTAGGTGGAGGAGGAGCAGGAGGCAGAGGAGGAGCGGGAGAAGGAGGAGCAGGAGGAGGAGGAGGAAAAGTACCAGCAGAGAAGGTGAAGGTCTGAGCCAGCAGGTTCAGTAAGTTGAGCGTCACGAGGAGTTTGGAGAACGGAGCTCCAGGGAGCAGCTCCTCCAGCAGCTCCTCAACCAGCCAGCGCAGGAACTCCTGCAGACAGAACACAGTGAGTCTCCTCCTCAGTCCACGAGGATCAGCTCTGATCTTAATTGCTGTGGGGTACCCGGTATCTGTGGAGGGTTTGCTGGTCCTGGTCCCTCTGGTCCTGGTCCATCTGGTCCTGGAGCAGTCTCTTCTGCAGCAGCTGGGTGCTGTCTCTGACTCTGCAGAGTAGCTGTGAAGAAAATGTTAGAATTTAGTGTTTCTTGTCAGAACCACAGGACCCAGGTCTCAGAACCACAGGACCCAGGTCTTAGGAACAAACCTTCTTCATGAGGCCGACACTCTGCTGCCTTACGCCCGCTGATTGGTTGTTAAGGTTCGCTGGAAGGAAGTGGCGGATCAGGTCCATTTCCTGTGAGGCCAGAACCTCTGTGCTCCGGTGGCTCTCACACACCAGTCCCAGAGCGTCCATCCTCACCTTGAGACAAACACGATGACCAACAGAAAGACCCCAGAGGACGTGGATTCAGATGAAGGATGAGACTCACCTGGTCCTGTTTGTGGATCAGAGCCTGCTGTAGCAAGGAGACCGGTACCAGTCCCCTCCACTGACCCCTGTCGGTTAACGTCACCACACCCTGGGTCCGGGCTGCTCTCAGACACAGGATCAGGGCTCCCTGAGGCCCCCGGCTGCCTGAAGGACCTGAAGGGATTAAAAAGAACACGGGTCTGACGAGGTTCTGGTGACATGGAACTTCAGGTATTCTGAGGGAACGCCAGCGTTTCCTGGACCTGCTCTGCAGAGAAGAGGATCCTGCAGAACCTGCATCATGTGGGCCAGGCTGGATGGGCTGCAGCGAAGCAGCTTAGGCAGGATGTAGTCTAGGATGTAGGTATTCTGATCCGGTTTTGTGAGGCACAGAACATTTAGCAGCGGGGTCACCCAAGTTTGGTGCCACAGCTCCAGCCAGTTCTCAGAAGAGCCTGACAAAGCCTCCAGCTGCTCCTTGTGGCTCAGGAACAGCTTCTCCAGCAGATCACTGGCATACGGAGCCAGGGTCTGGTCCCCCATCAGGCTCAGGAGGTCTGAAGGCAGCTGGGGCTGGACATTCAGCAAGAACCGGGCTCCATACAGCTCCACCAGGCAGCCCAAAGAGCCATACTTCCCCCTCAGTTGCCACTGCAGGCTCAGCAGGCTGGAGGTGAGCTCTGTGACGTATGGGTCCTCTCCTGGGTCTCTGATGGTGCGCTGATGTAGGAGGAGCAGGTTCCGGAACAGGGTGCAGGTCTGATGGCGAACTCCATCCAGAGGATGTTCCCAGTGGGAGTAAATGTGCTCCAGCAGGTGTTTCTGGAGCTCAGAGCCTCCACCCAGGGACATCTGGAGACTGGGGGGACAGAGAAGTGTCTCCTCCTGAAGACAGTCCAGAGCAGCACTGCTCCACAAGGTCAGGCCCCGGGCCACCACCATGGCGGTGCTGGACTCCTTTACACTAACAGGAAGACAAAGAGGAACTTCATGGCTCTGGATCTTTAAGTCTCATGATTTATTTAAAACACTCACCTGACGTCCAGGTCCAGCAGAGTCTCTGGGACCAGCAGCAGCAGTTCTTCCCACTGTGGTCCTGCGAGGGCCCCTTTCCAGTTCAACATGGCAAGAGCTCCATGACAAATATACAGAGAGACACCTGGATGGCGTCTTCTGGACCACAGACTGGCACAGGTCTGCCTCAGCCAGTCAGGAGCTGAGTCCAAACCCTGATCTGAACCCCTTAGTAAACTGCAGACCTGGATCCACCAAATCCACAATCAGAACCTTACAAATCCCTTATTTAGACTGATCTGTGGCCCCCTCTCAATGTGCTTCCATCATCACAACATAAAGAATTTAAAGGTAGTTTAATTTGTTTCTTCCCCAGAACTTCAGGTTTGTTTCAGAACTCACCACAGAAGCCACCTGGTCTCCAGATAACAAGACAGTTCGAATCAGCAGAACCATAGCCATCCCTGCAGTGCTCTGGACGGATTGAATGAAGTCCGCTACAGGTGGAGACACAAGACAAGAAAAACTCACGTCCTCTAAAAGTTACTTTTTCTGTTCACATAAAGACTTGTTCTTACCATCAGTCAGGATGTGGATGTAGCAGCTCAGAAGACCGCCCAGCATGTCTTCTGGCTTCCTGAGGTCCTGATCTGCCTGCAGAGCTCCACTGAGCAAGTCCTGAGACCTCTGAAGGACCAATATGGAGGTCTTCACTGCAGCAAGGCACGACTGCATCAGCTGGGCTTGAGCAATATGACGGCCTGCAAGACCCCTAAGAAACCAGCAGGGGTCAGCAGGGACACACAGACCAAATACCCCCAAGAAATCAGCAGGAGTCAACAGAGACCAAAGACCAGAACCCAGAGAAACCACACACAGAAACGTAAAACAAACTGGAAATGAAGGTTTACAGAACATTACAGAAACTGGTTTCCTTTCTTCCTAATGAGTCTAAGGATCATGTCCACAGTCCCTCCTGAATGTCCTCCAGACCTGAGGTCCGCAGTCCCTCCTGACTGTCCTATTTAAAGATTCATAACTGGCTGTGATTATCGTACCCACCACTGCACACTGTATTCACTGGTTAACTGGACATCATTAACTTCACGCAGACTCTCCCACTGGTACATTTTCATCTTTAAATCACTTCTTGGTCTGCTGCCTTCATACATCTCCTCCTACATGTCTCTGTGTGAGTGCAGCTACAGCGTGCGCTCTCAGGACATCATTACCTGCAGTGTTCCCTCAGTGAGGACTGAACTAGACAAAAGGACCTTCTCCTATTCCGCTCCTGTTTCCTGGAATATCTTGTAAAAAGATCTGAAGCTCTCGACCTTTGACCTCTCTAAGTGTCTTTAAGAATCTGTTGGACTCCTGGCAGGGACCAATGCTGACATGTTCCTGTTTTTAGTTTTCTACATTTGTCTTGGAATCTAGCTGTTTTTTGTTTTGTTACCTTTTCCTTTTAGCCATCCTATTTGTTAAAAAAAAAAAAAAAACCTGCGGTATGACTTTTTATAACTGTTTATTGTTGTTGCTGTTGTCCATTGTTGTCATCTTTCTTTGTTGAAATCAGGTCTCTCTTGTAAATGAGTCCTCGAGGCTCAATGGGATTTACCTGTAGAAATAAAGGTTGATTGATATAGACCTGAGGTCAACAGCACCTAAATGTCCTACAGACCTAAAGTCCAAAGTCCCTCCTGACTGTCCTACAGACCTGAGGTCCACAGTCCCCCATGACTGGTCTACAGACCTGAGGTCCACAATCTCCCAGAATCAGAATAAACTTTTATTATCATTGCACTGAGATACAACAAGAACATGTACGTACAGTTGTCTGAAAGATGGGCAGAGTGCACGAAGCTGCAACTATAAATAGCGCGGCCTTCTTATTCTTATTCAGAATAATATTTTGCTTAGATGAGAAAAGGAAAGAAAACATGAGGAGAGACGGTATAAAAAAAAGATCTCTCACGCTGTGTCCTAGACAGGGCACAATTTGAGGCATCAAACAAACCTCCCACAGCAAAGCAACATAAACAGACGTTATACATGAACATATAGGCCGGTGAAGAAGTTGAATTTTTAAGGGAAAGTTGTAGCATAGTCCAGAGCCCCCCCTCAGCCATTGTCCAGATAAGAGGTGACGTTCATCTTCAGCTCAGTTGAGGTTCTGTCACATGTCCACGGCCTTGGGGGAGGGAGGGGTGAGGAGACAGACAAAGCATCTTTGTTGTTTTCAAAACACGAGTTGAGATAAGTCCGGCATCAAGGCCACAGTTTGGGTCAGGCAGAACTCATGAATTGTTGTTTCT